TTTCTTACATTCTCTTGCATACATTATCTTAAGTATCTTCTATAATTTACAACTTTTTCTCTAAGCATAACATCATACCAAAACATTCAAATCATTAACTTAAACTCAAAAACTATATCAATATAATTTAGTTCTCAACATTTTTGCTCCCTCATCCATTTATCTCTCATACATTTTATTATTAAATATAATACATTATATATATAATTATTAAAGTGTCTAATATTTGTAACTATCTGTTCACTGAATATAATATTCTAACTTGAACTACTTGCTCATTATTTATAACTGTTAAATCTAATGTACTCTACTGATTCACTACAAATTTTATTTTTTTCTACGTGAATAACAATTGAACCGGCCGTTTCAAAAACAACACAAGTCACAAAATTTCAATTTTACACCAACAACAAAAAAAAACTTCATATCTAGTTTTTACAGTGATTCTAATTTCTTGTACTCAATATTTGTATTAAAGTCGCGCATGTAGTGTCGACAATGAAACATCGTAATATACGATTACATTCCGTTTTCTCAAGTATAAAATTAAGTTCTATACTATTTTTTTTTATTTCAAAAACGTCCTGGTATCAAAAAGTACCAGTTATCCATTGAGCTATTCACCATATCTCTCTGAGGATCCAGAGCTACTCCATCTGCATTTTGGTAATAATTTTAATTATCTAAATTCTATTATCTACGGCGGCCCGCTTCGGACGGCCCGCAAATTGCCGATATCGCTCGCGATAAGCTCACACCGTCATGTCGTTCACATCGAATACCGATAAATCAAAAACTGTCTCCCCACTAATAATACAAAAGTCACGCATACAGAGCGTGCCAAATCAACCATTAATCTCTCCAGCTAATTTTTCCCCCAATGACGGCTTTACCACACCAAAAAGTTCTAAACGACTCCCTTCTCCAGCCCACTCACCAAATAATACACAACACAAAAAACATACAACATACGTTTCACAAAATCGTTTCTCACTTTTTGCCGCAAACGATACCGAGGAACCTGTACTTACTCAGAAATTACAGAAGTCACCAAAGGTGAACAGTTCTCTTGTAAAAGCACAACCAATGGTTTGAAACTCTCTACCAGCTCAGCTGATTCCTACCGTTCGGTTATTAAATTTCTTCTATCAAATAAAGCAGATTTCCATACTTACCAGCTAAAAAAAGATAGACCGTTCAGAGTGGTAATCAGAAACCTCCATCACACAACATCACCCGAAGAAATTAAAAAAGAATTATTGTCCCTTGGTCATACTCCAAGAAACATAACAAATGTTATTCAACGGTCTACAAAGCTTCCACTTCCACTTTTCTTTGTCGATTTGGAGCTAGCAATAAGATAGAAGAAGTAGATGAATAGATGAAGTAGCAATAATTTGAGACACATTATTTTCGTAAGAATAGTCTTTACATTATGTATTCAAAAAAGTTACGGTCTACTTAAAGCATTACAGCTAAACTAATAAAACATGCTTAAGTCTGCTGGCTCTTGAATATTGATTATTTCCGATCAATAATCTCCTTGCGATATATGATGATAGTATAGTCTTAATTTTATGCTGTCGTCCAATGGTTTTTAGTAGTTTTTTATTATTTCGCATTAATCGGTTGGTTGGCAACATTCAACTGAATTAATTATTTTGAATAAATTTAATTGTGCTTATTGTGAAACAATTTTAATTTTTTTGGATAAATATTTGGTTACCCATTTTATAAAAATGCCATTATATGGATTTGTACCTTTCAATCTATATAAAATTATCTATTATATAAAATATGGCTGTGAATAAGTTATGAATACTTTTTTATACAACAATAAAATAATTTTGGTTTTTGATGCACTGAATATAATTATTATCATATAATAATTGTCCAGATTAAAAACCTAAAAGACTTGCCTCAAGACATTTTATACACTTATAAATATATACATATATACATATTTTATAAAAAAGCAACCGCTAGATCGCGCCACTTTTGCGTTACTATCGTGGCGCTATTTTGTATCGTATTCGAGCTGAGAGGCCAAGGATAAGCATGTTCCATTCTAAAACAAAATATAATGGTTTTAGGTATTGGACGAAATTTATGCTGGTGCCCAAAGATATTTGGCTAAATATTTAAAACCCCTTGGTATACTTTCTCGTAAAAAATACGATAAAAAAGTGGACAGATCTCACATAGAACGCTTCTTGGTCGACAACTTATCCAAATACAATGGACTAACAATTTATAGGGTGCGGGATGTAGTAAATGACTTGCCGCCAGGTACGACAAATGTTAATAATAATTTAGTAATAGACATGATAAAATAATATTTTTGTGAAATATGAATGCTTATAATTAATTTGATGTTTTGTTTTAATTATTATCGGTAGGTAATGTTTTTTTTTTTACAATATTTTTGAGGGGTCTTAGACGGCTTTTGATAATACCCGTTATGGTCAAATATTGTACTTAATAATGTGATAATAATAACAGCAACCAATCAACTCGTTAGAGTAGTATCAACTTATAGTTTCTTTTGTATGTGATAAATAAAAATAAAAATAAATATTGTCATAAATTTTAGGCTTGTCAAAGTTAATATTATTAGCTATCTAAAATATAGTAAATACAACAATTCAATGCCAGTACAGTGCATATATCGAGCTTAAAGGAGAGCATATATGAGCGGGGGAGGTTACAATTTTTTTAGGAATTTTTTTAACCAAAAATGATAATGCCACTTTATTTTTAACCTCAGAATAAAGATAATGTTTGCAGCCCTTCTGGTGGACAAGGGCTTTTGATATTTTATTGGTTTGCCAATGTTTATCGATAGTAGGTACGTCATTATCTTAAGAATATACCATACAAATTTAGAACCAACGTTAAAAAAAGTCATAACATGTCAAACATAAAAAAAACACGTTATTGTAAAAACATAATGACTTCTCGACTAAAACATTTAGCGGTACAGCTGGTGTGTATTGAATAGAAAATATATTGGACGCATAAGAACACAAATCAAATTTCGAAGAGTATTATACAACTTTTACTGTTTATCTATTGTTTTAGATATATTATAATAATTCTAATTCGTTGTATGGATAAAAATATTTTTAGTTGAATTGAGTTTTGAAATTTCGAGAGACAGATATACCTGTTATAGGTCTAAAGTTGTAGTACATGAACAAAGAAATATTTAGCTATAAATTGTTAGTCCATTGTATTTGGATAAGTTGTCGACCAAGAAGCGTTCTATGTGAGATCTGTCCACTTTTTTATCGTATTTTTTACGAGAAAGTATACCAAGGGGTTTTAAATATTTAGCCAAATATCTTTGGGCACCAGCATAAATTTCGTCCAATACCTAAAACCATTATATTTTGTTTTAGAATGGAACATGCTTATCCTTGGCCTCTCAGCTCGAATACGATACAAAATAGCGCCACGATAGTAACGCAAAAGTGGCGCGATCTAGCGGTTGCTTTTTTATAAAATATGTATATATGTATATATTTATAAGTGTATAAAATGTCTTGAGGCAAGTCTTTTAGGTTTTTAATCTGGACAATTATTATATGATAATAATTATATTCAGTGCATCAAAAACCAAAATTATTTTATTGTTGTATAAAAAAGTATTCATAACTTATTCACAGCCATATTTTATATAATAGATAATTTTATATAGATTGAAAGGTACAAATCCATATAATGGCATTTTTATAAAATGGGTAACCAAATATTTATCCAAAAAAATTAAAATTGTTTCACAATAAGCACAATTAAATTTATTCAAAATAATTAATTCAGTTGAATGTTGCCAACCAACCGATTAATGCGAAATAATAAAAAACTACTAAAAACCATTGGACGACAGCATAAAATTAAGACTATACTATCATCATATATCGCAAGGAGATTATTGATCGGAAATAATCAATATTCAAGAGCCAGCAGACTTAAGCATGTTTTATTAGTTTAGCTGTAATGCTTTAAGTAGACCGTAACTTTTTTGAATACATAATGTAAAGACTATTCTTACGAAAATAATGTGTCTCAAATTATTGCTACTTCCCTGTATATTATTCACTAGAGTATTTCATTTTTGTAATTCGTTAATGTACTAGATAATTAGATTACATTTTTTAATAAATATTTTTTTCAAGTTATTGCTAATGAGGTAAATACAGACATTATTAATTTTTTTATTACACAATGTGAATGCTACTATTATGTAGAAATCATTTAGTCTCGAATTAGATTTACTAAATTAGCGGTTTTTCTTTTTTAATGAGTTATATAGTTCAATAGAATAAATTTAAAATTACCTCATCTCTTTTTATTTCGTCTTTAAATCGCGATTTTGCCAAACACATAACTATAAAACATTAAGAAATGATTTATATTAAAATTTAACAAACTAAATTATGCTGTAACGAATAACCTGATTGTAATTATTATTATTGCGTCCAATATATTTTCTATTCAATACACACCAGCTGTACCGCTAAATGTTTTAGTCGAGAAGTCATTATGTTTTTACAATAACGTGTTTTTTTTATGTTTGACATGTTATGACTTTTTTTAACGTTGGTTCTAAATTTGTATGGTATATTCTTAAGATAATGACGTACCTACTATCGATAAACATTGGCAAACCAATAAAATATCAAAAGCCCTTGTCCACCAGAAGGGCTGCAAACATTATCTTTATTCTGAGGTTAAAAATAAAGTGGCATTATCATTTTTGGTTAAAAAAATTCCTAAAAAAATTGTAACCTCCCCTGCTCATATATGCTCTCCTTTAAGCTCGATATATGCACTGTACTGGCATTGAATTGTTGTATTTACTATATTTTAGATAGCTAATAATATTAACTTTGACAAGCCTAAAATTTATGACAATATTTATTTTTATTTTTATTTATCACATACAAAAGAAACTATAAGTTGATACTATATGTTATAAAGATACAAAAAATCACTTGCCATATAACGGAAAAAATTTAAATACGCCCAAGGATGCTGTTGTAGCGTCCATTATCCTCGTGAAGTGAACACACCATAATCAAATTTATCTTTAAATTCACTTTTCGACATAAACTGTTTAGCTAGAAATCGTTATAAAAGTATTCACATTACAATTTACCAAACTAAAATATACTCTAACGAGTTGATTGGTTGCTGTTATTATTATCACATTATTAAGTACAATATTTGACCATAACGGGTATTATCAAAAGCCGTCTAAGACCCCTCAAAAATATTGTAAAAAAAAAAACATTACCTACCGATAATAATTAAAACAAAACATCAAATTAATTATAAGCATTCATATTTCACAAAAATATTATTTTATCATGTCTATTACTAAATTATTATTAACATTTGTCGTACCTGGCGGCAAGTCATTTACTACATCCCGCACCCTATAAATTGTTAGTCCATTGTATTTGGATAAGTTGTCGACCAAGAAGCGTTCTATGTGAGATCTGTCCACTTTTTTATCGTATTTTTTACGAGAAAGTATACCAAGGGGTTTTAAATATTTAGCCAAATATCTTTGGGCACCAGCATAAATTTCGTCCAATACCTAAAACCATTATATTTTGTTTTAGAATGGAACATGCTTATCCTTGGCCTCTCAGCTCGAATACGATACAAAATAGCGCCACGATAGTAACGCAAAAGTGGCGCGATCTAGCGGTTGCTTTTTTATAAAATATGTATATATGTATATATTTATAAGTGTATAAAATGTCTTGAGGCAAGTCTTTTAGGTTTTTAATCTGGACAATTATTATATGATAATAATTATATTCAGTGCATCAAAAACCAAAATTATTTTATTGTTGTATAAAAAAGTATTCATAACTTATTCACAGCCATATTTTATATAATAGATAATTTTATATAGATTGAAAGGTACAAATCCATATAATGGCATTTTTATAAAATGGGTAACCAAATATTTATCCAAAAAAATTAAAATTGTTTCACAATAAGCACAATTAAATTTATTCAAAATAATTAATTCAGTTGAATGTTGCCAACCAACCGATTAATGCGAAATAATAAAAAACTACTAAAAACCATTGGACGACAGCATAAAATTAAGACTATACTATCATCATATATCGCAAGGAGATTATTGATCGGAAATAATCAATATTCAAGAGCCAGCAGACTTAAGCATGTTTTATTAGTTTAGCTGTAATGCTTTAAGTAGACCGTAACTTTTTTGAATACATAATGTAAAGACTATTCTTACGAAAATAATGTGTCTCAAATTATTGCTACTTCCCTGTATATTATTCACTAGAGTATTTCATTTTTGTAATTCGTTAATGTACTAGATAATTAGATTACATTTTTTAATAAATATTTTTTTCAAGTTATTGCTAATGAGGTAAATACAGACATTATTAATTTTTTTATTACACAATGTGAATGCTACTATTATGTAGAAATCATTTAGTCTCGAATTAGATTTACTAAATTAGCGGTTTTTCTTTTTTAATGAGTTATATAGTTCAATAGAATAAATTTAAAATTACCTCATCTCTTTTTATTTCGTCTTTAAATCGCGATTTTGCCAAACACATAACTATAAAACATTAAGAAATGATTTATATTAAAATTTAACAAACTAAATTATGCTGTAACGAATAACCTGATTGTAATTATTATTATTGCGTTTTTGTGATCAATATTTAGTCATAACGAGTACTATTAAAAGCCACCTAAAAACAACAATGATGTTTTTCCGCTTGTTTGGTTTTTAAAATAATTTAAAATCGTGCTTCGAAAAAATTCATGGGAATTTTAAAAATTAACATTTCAATATGAATTACAAAGAGTCTAAAGAAAACGAGATAAAAGCGGTTTATATTTGTAATAATTGTTCTTCCTAACGATCTTTGTATAATATTATTAGTTATTCACATAATGTATATTTTACTAAATTATTATTAATCAACGAACCCGACGGCAAACTTTTAGTTAAATATTCGATTTCCTGTTCAGATAGTATATGCTTCGATCCTATGGTTTTCTTACATAAGTAGCCTTCTACTGAAAGCTTGTCAACACATCCTTTATATCTGTATATTATTTTTTCAAAAATTCTTTCAAGATGCTAAAATAATTTTAATTTTATTTTTAATATAAATTATGAATACTAGAATTTAAGAATTGTTGTATCTCGAAATATCTCTAGTATATTATTTACTAGGTTTAAAAATTATTTTATTATTACCTATAATTTGTTTTAATGTATCACATATTTAGATATTAAAATAATTCATAATTCAATACTTGAGTCGTACTCTCACCACAAGATAATAGCTTATATGAGGGTTACACGTATTATAAGTTCCTACTTTTAGTGTATAATTTAAAATTTTTTTTATATTATACTGTAAGTTATGTTATCTATGTACACCGCGGAATTAATTGCAAATATATATATTATAAGATAAAAAATTTAAACGAAAATTACCTCATCAGTTAAATTTTCTATTTTTGCATTCATTATATTTTTTAATTCCTTTTTTGACATATGAATACCATCTAGAAATGATTATAAAGTGTTGATATTAAAAGTCACAAAACTAAATTATGCTGTAATGAATTAATAAGTTGCATATATTATTAATGCATTTTTGTGTACAATATTTGGGCAAAACGGGTATTATTATATGCCAGTTAAAAACAATTATTTTGTTGGTCCACTTGTTCAGTTTTTAAATAGTCTAAAATCGTGTTAAATTAAAATTTCATGGTGAATGTCATAAAATTCATACTTCAATGTTTATTACAGTTCGTGTAACCGTAATGAAAACAATTTTTTGTAACATAATTTTTTAGAAAATTAAGATATAAGCGTTACATGAATTTGTTTAACTTGTTCTTGCTAACTATCATTACAGGCGACTTCTGCATAATATTATAAGCACTCTTCAAAAGTGTTGGAAAAAAACGCTCTATTATCGATAATAATTTTTGTAAAAAGGCAAATTGATTACTTGTCACAATTTACATATACATTTTGCAATATCTAATAATTGTTATTATTTAACGTACCTGGAATTTTTTCAATTTTAAAACCGATAACCCGTTCAGGGTCTTCAATAAGTTTTTCAAATATGTAAAATTCTATTGAATTGTTGGCAGCATCTTCTCGTAACGTAGAATAAATTTCGTCCAATATCTAAAATCATTACATTATTATTTTGAAAAGACAATGTAAATACTATTATTACAGACATAACGTGTCTCAAATTATTACCACTTCTCAGTATATAACAGTATATATATATATCAGTATTCACTAGGTTTATACAGTATTTGATTATTATTTTTTTATTTTTATGTATCATGTATTTAGATAAAATTGTGTTAACAAATATGAAATCATCGAATTAAAAATAAAAATTATCCAAAAACAACTGATATAAAGTTGTAGCATGTTCTTATGACCCAAATCATTTAAAATCAATTAGGTTTTTTCCCCATATTAATTTACGGTTTCAAATATAAGTGTTAAGACTCACAACACAAGTTGTGTGTATTTCCAATAAGTGTAAACCGAAATTTTTGATCCCTTACCTCTGATGTTAGAATAATTTCTCCATTACCAAATTTTTACCAGATAATCTACTAACTTATGATAGCCTACTGATTATGAAACTATTCACCCCGCATATTGTAGTAACTATCGCCCAATAGCGATTTATCGAAAATTATTTAAAAAGAGAATAATGCAATTTGAAATAATAATATTTAATTAAAAAAAAAAATTTGGCTGAATATTAGACAGTTCAACCGATGACGCATTATTTTCATTTTTCAACCAATAATTTTATCCATATAAACCTTGGCGATGTAACATAAAAACAAAGTTCTAGGAATATTCTTTGATGTCAAAAAAGCATTTTATTTTATAAATTATTTTTAATTATTTTTAAAGTTAATAACCTCTACAAATGGTATCGCTCTAGAATTTGTAAATAAACGTAATTGTCTATAATAATAGATAGTAGTAATATTAAATGGAAACTTCATATAAATGCATTAACCAACCCAATATACAAATTCTTTTATAAATATTACAATTACTCGTCCAATCAGTTTTGAATTATGGAATAATTGTATGAGGTCAGGTAAGACACTTATACCAAGTTATTAAAATAACTGTAAATTGCCTAAGTTAACTGTTAAACTTTCTACCACAGGATATTAGCTTATAGGAAAGCAATTCTTAGCTTAAACATTTGTATTTTGTTTTGTTTTATATTTTACTGTAAGTTATGTTATCTACGCACACCATGGAATTAATTGCAAATAAATATATTATTATATAAAAAATTTAAACGAAAATTACCTCATCAGTTAAATTTTCTATTTTTGCATTCATTATTTCGTTAAATTCCTCTTTTGACATATCAATAGCATCTAGAAATGATTATAAAGTGTTGATATTAAAAGTCACAAAACTAAATTATGCTGTAATGAATTAATAAGTTGCATATATTTTTAATGCATTTTTGTGTACAATATTTGGGCAAAACGGGTATTATTATATGCCAATTAAAAACAATTATTTTGATGGTCCACTCGTTCAGTTTTTAAATAGTCTAAAATCGTGTTTAATTAAAATTTCATGGTGAATGTCATAAAATTCATACTTCAATGTTTATTGCAGTTCGTGCAACCGTAATGAAAACAATTTTTTGTAACATAATTTTTTAGAAAATTAAGATATAAGCGTTACATGAATTTGTTTAACTTGTTCTTGCTAACTATCATTACAGGCGACTTCTACATAATATTATAAGCACTCTTCAAAAGTGTTGGAAAAAAACGCTCTACTTATCAATAATAATTTTTGTAAAAAGGCAAATTGATTACTTGTCAAAATTTACATATACATTTTGCAATATCTAATAATTGTTATTATTTAACGTACCCGGAATTTTTTCAATTTTAAACCCGATAACCCGTTCAGGGTCTTTAATAAGTTTTTCAAATATGTAAAATTGTATTGAATTGTTGGCAGCATCTTCTCGTAACGTAGAATAAATTTCGTCCAATATCTAAAATCATTACATTATTATTTTGAAAAGACAATGTGAATACTATTATTACAGACATAACGTGTCTCAAATTATTACCACTTCTCAGTATATAACAGTATATATATATATCAGTATTCACTAGGTTTATACAGTATTTGATTATTATTTTTTTATTTTTATGTATCATGTATTTAGATAAAATTGTGTTAACAAATATGAAATCATCGAATTAAAAATAAAAATTATCCAAAAACAACTGATATAAAGTTGTAGCATGTTCTTATGACCCAAATCATTTAAAACCAATTAGGTTTTTTCCCCATATTAATTTACGGTTTCAAATATAAGTGTTAAGACTCACAACACAAGTTGTGTGTATTTCCAATAAGTGTAAACCGAAAATTTTGATCCCTTACCTCTGATGTTAGAATAATTTCTCCATTACCAAATTTTTACCAGATAATCTACTAACTTATGATAGTCTACTGATTATGAAACTATTCACCCCACATATTGTAGTAACTATCGCCCAATAGCGATTTATCGAAAATTATTTAAAAAGAGAATAATGCAATTTGAAATAATAATATTTAATTAAAAAAAAAAATTTGGCTGAATATTAGACAGTTCAACCGATGACGCATTATTTTCATTTTTCAACCAATAATTTTATCCATATAAACCTTGGCGATAGTAACATAAAAACAAAGTTCTAGGAATATTCTTTGATGTCAAAAAAGCATTTTATTTTATAAACTATTTTTAATTATTTTTAAAGTTAATAACCTCTACAAATGGTATCGCTCTAGAATTTGTAAATAAACCTAATTGTCTATAATAATAGATAGTAGTAATATTAAATGGAAACTTCATATAAATGCATTAACCAACCCAATATACAAATTCTTTTATAAATATTACAATTACTCGTCCAATCAGTTTTGAATTACGGAATAATTGTATGAGGTCAGGTAAGATACTTATACCAAGTTATTAAAATAACTGTAAATAGCCTAAGTTAACTGTTAAACATTTTACCACAAGATATTAGCTTATAGGAAAGCAATTCTTAGCTTAAACATTTGTATTTTGTTTTGTTTTATATTTTACTGTAAGTTATGTTATCTACGCACACCATGGAATTAATTGCAAATAAATATATTATTATATAAAAAATTTAAACGAAAATTACCTCATCAGTTAAATTTTCTATTTTTGCATTCATTATTTCGTTAAATTCCTCTTTTGACATATCAATAGCATCTAGAAATGATTATAAAGTGTTGATATTAAAAGTCACAAAACTAAATTATGCTGTAATGAATTAATAAGTTGCATATATTTTTAATGCATTTTTGTGTACAATATTTGGGCAAAACGGGTATTATTATATGCCAATTAAAAACAATTATTTTGTTGGTCCACTCGTTCAGTTTTTAAATAGTCTAAAATCGTGTTTAATTAAAATTTCATGGTGAATGTCATAAAATTCATACTTCAATGTTTATTACAGTTCGTGTAACCGTAATGAAAACAATTTTTTGTAACATAATTTTTTAGAAAATTAAGATATAAGCGTTACATGAATTTGTTTAACTTGTTCTTGCTAACTATCATTACAAGCGACTTCTGCATAATATTATAAGCACTCTTCAAAAGTGTTGGAAAAAAACGCTCTACTTATCGATAATAATTTTTGTAAAAAGGCAAATTGATTACTTGTCACAATTTACATATACATTTTGCAATATCTAATAATTGTTATTATTTAACGTACCCGGAATTTTTTCAGATTTAAACCCGATAACCCGTTTAAAGACATTAAATTCTTTTACAGTACGTTTTTCAAATATGTAAAATTTTATTGAATTGTTGGCAGCATCTTCTCGTAACGTAGAATAAATTTCGTCCAATATCTAAAATCATTACATTATTATTTTGAAAAGACAATGTGAATACTATTATTACAGACATAACGTGTCTCAAATTATTACCACTTCTCAGTATATAACAGTATATATATATATCAGTATTCACTAGGTTTATACAGTATTTGATTATTATTTTTTTATTTTTATGTATCATGTATTTAGATAAAATTGTGTTAACAAATATGAAATCATCGAATTAAAAATAAAAATTATCCAAAAACAACTGATATAAAGTTGTAGCATGTTCTTATGACCCAAATCATTTAAAACCAATTAGGTTTTTTTCCCATATTAATTTACGGTTTCAAATATAAGTGTTAAGACTCACAACACAAGTTGTGTGTATTTCCAATAAGTGTAAGCCGAAAAATTTGATCCCTTACCTCTGATGTTAGAATAATTTCTCCATTACCAAATTTTTACCAGATAATCTACTAACTTATGATAGTCTACTGATTATGAAACTATTGACCCCGCATATTGTAGTAACTATTGCCCAATAGCGATTTATCGAAAATGATTTAAAAAGAGAATAATGCAATTTGAAATAATAATATTTGATTAAAAAAAAAAATTTGGCTTTATAACAGACAGTTCAACCGATGACGCATTATTTTCATTTTTCAACCAATAATTTTATCCATATAAACCTTGGCGATAGTAACATAAAAACAAAGTTCTAGGAATATTCTTTGATGTCAAAAAAGCATTTTATTTTATAAATTATTTTTAATTATTTTTAAAGTTAATAACCTCTACAAATGGTATCGCTCTAGAATTTGTAAATAAACCTAATTGTCTATAATAATAGATAGTAGTAAATTTAAATGGAAACATCATATAAATGCATTAACCAACCCAATATACAAATTCTTTTATATATATTACAATTACTCGTCCAATCAGTTTTGAATTACGGAATAATTGTATAAGGTCAGGTAAGACACTTATACCAAATTATTAAAATAACTGTAAATAGCATAAGTTAAATGTTAAACTCTCTACCATAAGATATTAGAAAAGCAATTTTTACCTTTAACAATTTTGTTTTATTTTTTTTATATTTTAAAGTAAGTTATGTTATCTACGCACACCATGGAATTAATTGCAAATAAATATATTATTATATAAAAAAAAATGTAAAGTTACCTCATCAGTTAAATTTGATATATTTAATAATTCTTTAATATTATTCATTTTTTCATTAAATTCCTCTATTGGCAAACGAATATCTATAAATCATTATAAAAATATTTATGTTAAAATTTAACAAACTATATTAACATGTAACGAATTAACAGGTTGCCTTTATTATTATTGCGCTTTTATGTACAATATTTGGCCACAACGGGTATTACTAAAAGTCATCTAAAAACAATAATGACGTTTTTCGCTTGTTTAGTTCTCAAATAATTTAAAATCGTGTTTCTACCCAACACTTTAAGTACTCCTCGGTAATGTTGTAAAAAAACACACTACTTATCGACAATAATAGTTTATATTGAACATCAATGTGATTATTAGTTGTTTACAAATCGCCGCCTAAGAACCATTTTGGCCTATCTCAGTTTTTTCAACTTTTCAGGAGGAACAAAATAAATATCACTGATATCATTAGGTTTTATAGAGGCCCTGATGTTATTTGATTGCATACAGCCGCCTCTTGGTGTCAAACATTGAAACTTATAACACAATCTCATGCGTCTTGATAATACAAAAACATTTGCTTATAAAATTAAATTTTTAATTTTTGAGAGAGGCCATGAGAGAGGTCTTTAGGTGTCGATATATGTATTTATTTTACTAAACTATTATTATTCATCGTACCCGGAAAGTCGTTAAATATCAAATCGATTGATTGATTGGCCTCAAGTAGGTTGTGATTCGATTCTTCATATTTTTCAATTAAACCAAAAACTAATGGATCTGAGGCTTTAGTATCTTCTAGTATTTTTTGATTCATTTCCAGTGGCTTTTTAAATGAGCCAAAATTTACTGCATCTGAGGATGTAGTATCTTCTAGTATTTTTTGATTCATTTCCAGTGGGTTTTTAATTGAGCCAAAATTTACTGCATCTGAGGATGTAGTATCTTGTAGTATTTTTTGTTTCATTTCCACGCGGTTTTGAATTAAGCAAAATCTTGCACGAAGTGAGGCTGTGGCTATAGCATATTCTTTTACCGCATCATATATATCGTCCAATTGCTAAAATCATTACATTTTTTTTGGAATATACAATGTAAATACTATTATGAGAGAAATATCGTGTCTCAAATTAATATCACAAGTGAATATTATTATTCACTAGGTTTATAGAGTATTTAGATACTATACATTTTTTTTAATGTATTATGTATTTAGACAACATTTTTTAACAAATATTTTAGCTTCGATGCAAAGCGAGAAGGTATTGGTTTTACTCTGATGTGGGCTTTT